CAAAAATTACTTCGACAAAAAAATTGAAAATATAAAAAGACATATGAAAAATAAAGAAATTGAATCAGTAGTTGAAAACAAAGAACTTCCCACAAGGAAACAGTAGATACTATAATTGTACCAATGTTTAATTTAAACACACACACTCTCACACACACGCACACGCACACACACACACACACACACACACTCGCTCGCTTGCTCGCTCTAGCTCGCTCGCTCGCTCGCTCTCTTTCTTGGAGCTCAGTCTCAACTTTCCCGAAGGCACCAAGTGGGGCGGAGGCAGCGGAGCAGTCAGGGACGCTGCTCCTGGAAAGGTGAAGCCGTTCGGGGCCCGCGGTTACCGTTTCGGGGAGTCCGCAGACCCCGGCGAGGGTGGCTCGGCTCCCCTCGCGCCTCATCGCCGCCTTCCCCACGCCTCCCGGTCCGGCCCCGGCCGCGCAGCCAGGGCCAAGTTCGCCCGGGCCAAAAGGTCGTGGCGAAGGGCGGGACGCGCACCTGGGGCGGTGGGCGGAGGCCCGGGGTGGTTCTCCCGAGAGGACACGTCGCCGGGATTCGCCCAGGTTCTCTGGCAGCGCCGCGCCCGTCGGGGGGCTCTCTGGCCACGGCACCCCTCTCACCCCGCACCCCTGGCTCCCCGGGATTTCCGGAGCGTTGGAAAAACTCTGCGGAGCCTCTCCGCCCTGGCCGCCGCACATCCCTCGCAGCTCGGTTGAAGTCAGGCCTTAGCGTACCTCCTCCTGCCCGCGGCTCATCGGAAACCACGCGGAGGAGAGAGCCAAGGGGGCGCGACGGGACCCGCAAGAAAATGCAGGACAGCGGGGCGGGGTGACCGGATAATCGCGGGCCCCGCCGGAGGAAGAGGGCACGGTAAACCGCAGAGCGCCGCGAGGGCAGGACTTCAGGAAGGAGATGGAAAGTTTTCAAGCCTCCAGTGAGGTTTGCTTTGAAGGGACCATGACCATCTCCTGCCAGGGTACTGCTCAGAACCTTGACGGAGCTCACCCGCGGTTTTCACCGGATGCTCCAGGCTGCGCCCTGGCAGCCAGTCAGTGACTATCTACAGCCGTTTCCTTTTTTAAACAATCTCCTTTTCCTTCTCGGAAAGCAACTTTCCCCGATTCGGCTTGTCCATCCTTTCTATCGGCATATGAGTCGTTTCCTTTAACCCACTTAAAATAAGAGAAATTACAACTGTTTATATAGAGTGTAACATGCTCATGCAAAAAAATGCACATACGAAAACCTGTAAATATAAAGCCACTCCCTTATCTCACAAATAGGAGCCGCGGTGGTGTAATGGTTATTCGCTGAACTGTTCACAGCAAAGTCCACAGTTTGAAAAACACCAGCTGCACTGAGGGAGAAAGACAGTACTTTCTCCTCCCATAAAGAGTTACATTTTTGGAATCTCACAGGGACATTTCTACCCTGTCCCCTAGGGTCACTATGAATCAGCAACAACCTGATGGTGGTAGGGTTTGGGATGTATCTCACACATAATTGGAAGGATTGGTTTTGAAACTCTTAAGAAATATTCTAATGAATGGGGGAATGTTCGCTATAAGATATTATATCAATATAAGAAAAGAAAAATATATACTGAAGAGATTTCCTTTCAACCACATTATTGTTAGGTGCCTTGTGCCTTCCCAACTCACAGCGACCCAGTGGACAACAGAGAACACTGCCTGATTCTGCACCATCTCACAAGTTTTCCGATGTTTGAGCCCATTGTTGCAGCCACTGTGTCAATCCATCTCACTGTGAGTTTCAGTAATCAGCTCTTCTCTGGTCTCCTCCCCATTACACACTAGACTTACTGTTCAAACTCACTCACTGACATCAAGTTGATTGTGACTCATACCTTAGGGTTCTCAATACAAATCTGTCCCTATCTGATGCAAAGAATCTTTCAAAATTTAAATATTAAAAATGTTCCCAGAAGAGGAATTATAATGATATCTATTATCAAATAGCAATGATGTCTCTAAAGTGAACCAGAGACACCTATAAACCATAGATATATGAATGGATTTTGGACTCTCACTTAATCCCAGCCTCAATCTAATTAGTTCTTATGAACTGGCCCTACCCAATATTCACTCTCATGAAGAGAACACTGAAGATATGGGTGCTATAGCAAAGTCTGATGAAGAAAGTAGATGGTACCTCTATCAAAAAGAATAGTCTGGGGTTCTAAAGGCTTGTCTTAAAACAAACAGCCACCCAAGTGAGGCATCAACTAAGTCCACAAGGAAAAAGCACACCCTCCTTTGTGATCAAAGGATTGTAAATAATAAACCCAAATCTGAAGGAGGGAACAGTATCCAGAGCTTAAATTCTGAAAACCAGATTTGCAGAAGGCTGTGAATGACAATAGAAGCCCCAAGTCCATTTGTAGAGTCCCGTTATGGATTAAGCCACTGGTAAATATGCTCTGACCACAGTCCAGAGATGTGAATAGCCTTGCAATCAGACAGAGAACATTGATTATAGCAGCGGTAGTTAGGTTAGAGTGTAGCACCTTATTTGATCTTTCTCTTGACTCATTCTCAAGTTCTATCACTTTTTAATACTTCTGCTCTCTTTTCGATTGAGGTTTTACTCCTTTTTGTTTTGTCACTGTTGTGTTTTTTGTTTTGTATTATTTTCTGTATATGAAATCCAGGATAGATAACTATATAGAGAAACTAACTAGATTAATGATTACCAAGGGACAATGCAGGAAAAGTTGGGGGTGGAAAGAATGGGGAGCTAACAACAGTGAGTATAAGAAAGGAGAAAATGTTCTGAGATTCATTGTAGTGATTATTGCATTAGCCTACTTCATATTACCTTACTGAAATTAAATTGTATGATAATGCGAATTTTATGCTAACAAAACTATTTTTTAATTCCCCATAAAGAAAAAGTAGAGAATGAAAATGCTTTTTGCCTACTCCACAGTATAAATATTTTCCTATTTACTCCTTTTGTCTCATATTTTCTTAAGGAATAGAGTTGTTTCTACTTTGTCTGTCTATATGTTAACTGTCCCACCTATTCAGAAAGCCCTGGTGGTGTAGTGGATTAAGTTGGGCTGCTACCATGAGTTCAACATTTGAACACATTAGCTCTCTAAGGTAGAAAGAAGAGAGTCGCTGCTCCAGTGAAGATTTAGTCTTGAAACACAAAGAGGTCGTTCGACTCTGCCCTACAGGGACCCTGTGTGTCAGAATTGACTCAATGGCATTGGCGTTGGTTTGGTAACTACTGTGTGTTCTCTTCTAAGATCAAATGAGAAATTCTGCCCACACCGATATTTGAATTCAGGAGTTCTCAGTTATTTTCTCTGACATACTTTATTTCCTCTTTCTTTGGTCCACCATGGCCTCAAATGAAATGAGGGACAAGCAAGGTCTGCCTGGCCAGACACATCTTCCTGACAAGTGCTGACCTGTTTATACGGGGATGCTTCTACAGCCAGCTTTCAGTCAATCAGATGAGAGCTAGGCTGCCAGGGTAAACAGAGAAAGAAGCTGGAATATAATATAGAGTCCAGTTCAGCATGTAAATTGCATCATCAAAATTAGTATTAGGTTGTAAAGAGCTTTTCTGTAAAATGAAAAAATAATGCTATTTTATAGGGCTCCTAGTTGACTTAATTAAAGTAAGATCGTCTATTTGGAAGTTTCTTTTAAAACACTAAAGTTATTTCGAGAAAAGCAAAGATCTGTCTTCTTTAATGTTTTCACTAGTCTTGTCATTCAGATTGACTCTCTTTCTTAGACTGCCAATCTGGTGCTCTCTGTCA